TGAACTATAGAAATCTGGGGTTTGAGATAGTGAACCATCTGTAGAAGTTGCCCTGGGAAACGTGGAAAGGGTTAGAGTCTAGGAAAATGTACAGACAGCCTCTACTCAGAAGAGCTACAGGGAGAAAGTGTCTAAAGAAAAAAGCCAAGTTTTACTAGGGTAAGTAGGTGGAGAGAATACTGCGTGAGCAGGGTAGGGCCGACCACCAGAGCCCCAGGGGGCCCAGTGGAAGGGTGTGGGAAGGAAAGGAAAGAACTCCATGCAGTGAGGGAGAGGAGCACTTCTGGGGGGTGTTGTAAAAAATGTGAATATAGGGCCTGTGATTGTTCTCAGTTCCTTTCATTTAGGCCATTTATTTCTGTAAGCCATATGCATATGAAGGGCCTGTGGCTCTTTCCAACATTGGTCTCCAAACATGCATTTAACATTGATAATCAGTACTTTTCCAAAAACGAAAAGTAATTTTGTCAATGAAGATGCAGAAATCTGATCATTGTAAATACTTGCTAATAAATATATATTGAATTGGCAAAAAAAAAAAAAAAGATGAACTTTGCTGAAGAAAAATGAGCAAATTGTTAAGAAAAGCAAATGCAACTGCATGCATTATTACTGTTATTGCTGTTAAATAACACCTTTGCTCTGAATACTTATGATCTCTACCCCTGACTCAGGGCTTGCACATAAAACCTTGTTAAATATATTTTGATTGAAATCTAGAGCTACACTATCCAATACAGCAGCCACTGGCCACGTGTGGCTACTGAGCCCTTGAAATGTGGCTAGTCTGGATTGAGATGTACTGTGAGTATAAAAATACACACTGGATTTCAAAGACTTGGGAAAAAAAGTTTTATAGATCTCATAAAACTCACTGCCATCAGGTCGATTTGATTCCTAGTGACCCCTCCTTGGGTTTCCTAAGCGGTATCACTATGGAAATAGATTGCCCAATCTTCCTTCCGAGGAGTGGCTGGTGGATTTGAACCGCCAGGCTTCTGGTTAGCAGTCCTTAGGAGTATACCACCAGAGCTCTCATAGACCTCATAAATAATATTTTACAATTGATTACATGTTGCAGTGATAATATTTTGGCTAGAATTTATTAAGTAAAATATATTATTAAAATTAAGTCCCCCTGTTTCTCTTTACTTCTTTTAAATATGAAAATTTAAAATTACGTATGTGGCTTGCATATGAGGCAAACATTATATTTCTATTGGGCAGCACTGATGTAGAGCCTCCTGTCAGTGAAGAATAAAATGTTTTGGGGACTCTGCACATAGTTTTAGGAAGTATTTTGATTGACTGGTTGATTAGTTGCCTCTGGGAAGAGGGCAAGTTGAAAAGATGCTTGCTTATTTTCAGTCCTAGATTTTTCTGTGATTGACATATAAGCTTTGTGTACTCTATATTCTCTAATTGCAAATGTAAAAAAACCTGTTTGTCATTGTGGGAAGGCAGAATTATGCCATATGATTAAATTCACTCAGGCCACCTTTGAAGTACCTTAGGGATTTAGGCCCTGGTTCTTGCATGCCAATGCTTCTTTTCATTATATTGGTCTCCTCTATTTGTTTCTGGTAGCATAGTGGCTAAGACACTTGCCTGCTAACCAGACGGCTGGCGGTTCAAACCCACCAGCCACTCCTCGGAGGAAGGTTGGGCAATCCTACTTCTGTAGTGATACTGCCTTGGAAACCCAAGGAGGGGTTGCTATGAGTCGGGTTTGACTCGATGGCACATAACAACAACAACAAACATTTGTTTCTGGACAACATTTTTCTACCAGACTCTGCCTTGTTTTCCTTGTTTTCTTTAAAAATTATATAAGGGTTAAATTGGCAAGCGTTGTGTTACATATCCATACAACAGTAAAAAAAAAAAAAAAACTATTCTAATTAAAAAATATAAATCACTTTACTTTCTTTATGTGTGCTAATATCTCTGACATCAAAATGTCTAGGTTCAAACTCCAGCTCCCTCATTTACTAGCTGGAGTATCATCAGCAAGTTATTTCCTGTTCCTGAGCTTCAATTTCTATATTTTAAAAATGGGGATGATAATAGTGTTCATCTCATAGTGTAGTAGCAAAGGTTAAATGAATTAATACTTGGGAGGTGTTTGATACAGCGCCTTGCATATGACAAGGGCTCAATAAGTGTCAGCTATTTTAATTATCATCTCCTTCCTTATTACTTCAGCTTTTATTTGCTCAGCTCTTGCTATCCTTGAATGTAAATTACATCACCTAGCTGGTGGATTTGGGCCGCTGACCATTTTAGCATCTGAGTCCTTATCCATTGCACCATCAGGGCTCCTTACATGGCAGTAGGAGATGAGTTCTTTTTCGAGGTGGTGAGAATGTTGACTGTGGTGATGGTTGCACATTGTTGTTGTTGTTATGTGCAGTCGAGTTGGCCCCGACTCATAGCGACCCCTCCTTGGGTTTCCGAGGTAATATCACTACGGAAGCAGATTGCCCCATCTTCCTTCTGAGGAGTGGCTGGTGGATTTGAACCGCCAGCCTTCTGGTTAGCAGTCAAGTGCCGCCTTAGGCACTATGCTACCAGAGCTCCTATGATTGTACATATCTGTGAATATATTAAAACCATTGACTGGTATACTTTAAATTGGTATGTGAATGGTTATGGCATGTTAATTATATCTCAATATAACTGTTTAAAATTTAATAGATAAATTATGTCACCCAAATATCTTCACCTTTGAGGAACTGTAATAAAAACAGTATCCGTCTCATCCTTGCTACTGTGAACAGATATAAAATTTAGTTGTATCTTCTGACAAAGAAGCTATATATGGTGTTTTCTACTCTGGGCATAGTGCTAAGCATCCCGGGGAGAGGGAGCCTCAGATGAGAAATGGGAAGCTAGGTTTTAGGTGAGGAGAGGGAGCTTCTGCAGCTCTTTGAGATGCAGTCTTCTAGGTGTCTGCTGGGAACATGTGATGTGCTTGCAGATGTTCCTGGGGAGCAAGCCCAGAAGACAGCCTCTGCCCCAGGAAGGGGCCTGAAGAGGGTGTGGAGCCAGCTGGGAGGAAAGTACATATGAATAGAAGTAAACCACATTATCTAGCTGCATGCTATACTCTCTTGGTTTGTTATCTTCTTGTCTTTAAAGAGAGGATTAGATATTAAGGATATTAAGAGACATGCTTGGGGAAAAAAAAACAAACAAACCAAACTCACTGCCATCAAGTCAATTCTGAGTCATAGCAATTTCCTTTGAGTTTCCAAGATGGTAAATCTTTGGAAATAGATTGCCAAACTTCCTTCCAAGGAGTGGCTGGTGGATTTGAATTGCCAGCCTTCTGGTTGGCAGTCAAATGCCTTAGGCACTACGCCACCAGAGCTCCCAAGAGACATGTTTAGGAAGAGCCATTTAAAAATCTATGTTTGGGTCGGGACTGCCAGTCAGCTCATGGGCTTGACTGCAGAGTGATCAGGCCTGCACCCTGAAAGCCAATAAGTTCTTTGGGACTTATTTCTCCAGGGAGGAATGTCAAAATGCCCTTCCTGTAAAGCAGGGAATGGGGGAAGTATATGCTAGCTGCTGTGGCAAAAGAGGACTTGAGTTCTCACATTTCAGTAAATGGATATTACTGAATCCCTCTATTTCCAGTAAGGCACCTCACACTTTTTCTTCTCCCATCACCCTCCACTACTACCAAGTTAGGCCTGGAGTCCCCAGATCTGGAACCCTGTAGAGTATAGCACTTCTCCAGAGAAATCTTCCAGTCCCCATCCTACTGCTGCCTGGTATCAGCTTCCCATCCCTAAAGGAAGAACAAAACTCAAGAACTCCTCTCTTCCAGGAAATTCTCCCTCCACTGCCACAGGACACACGGAACAGGTGAAGAGTTGACAAGTTCTCACTGGATCCCAGAAATTGAGTAATTCATAGTCAATTAGCTTAAATTTTAATTTACACTTGAACACTTACTCTGTCAAACACTGTACTAAGTACTCATAATTTATCTTCTCAAATCCTCACAGCAATCCTATAAGGTAGGTTTTAAAAGTTCCATTCTACCGATGAAGGAATCGAGGCTTGGGGTTGTCAAGCAACCTGTAAGAACCAAGTTGCTCTGCTTTGGCAGAATTGAATATCAAGTCAGGGTGTTATGATTGTAAGCTCTTAACTACTAGGCCACTTTATTTGCAGAATAAATGATGGGAATTAGCAATGGCAGCTAACAGTGTTGGCCCAAGAAGAACATCAATTAGGTGTTGGACAATGGAGAAATTCTCATCTGTCCAGGCTGTTGAGATGTATACATCCCTGGAGGCACACATGGGGCATCTCCCTGCAACCTCCCCATCTTGGGGTCAGCTGGATACAGGGTAGAGGCCATATCCTGCACCAGGTTGGTTCTTCTCAGGTGAGGAGGAAAAAAAAAATCACAGCTGATAAGTCAATGCCATATTTTGCAGTCTCATTTGGAGAATTATCTTTTTATTAGGGCTCTATAAGTCACTGCAATACTCTCCTAGGTTTCATGCATTTAATATGTAGGAGGTTTTGTTGTTGTTGTTTATTTTTTAAAAGGAGTAACGTTTATTTTTCTCTGCAGCCTTTTCCATCTGACGTTTACTTTTTTAATTTTCCTAAGTTCAAAAGACGGAAACCCGGTGCACAAGCTTGTCCCTACAACGACCAGCTAAGTCAAACTGTCACAGCTGCCCAGGTGCACTTGGCCGGGTCCGCCTCCTGCAGGCTGACGCAGGTGGGCTGTTTCTTTCCCAAATCCCCTTAATATCCAGCCCTTGCAGGCGCTCGGCCACCTCTTGCTCTTGAATGAATGAAGGTTGGGGTGCAGCTGTTGCTAGAGAGAGAAAAAGAGGGAGGGAGGCGGGGAGGTTCCCGGGACACTGTTTGAAGTTATTTCAGCTCAAAAGAGTGGAGGGTGGTTGGCATGGGAAGTGGAATGTCAGGAGGACAGAGGAGGAGACAGAAGAGTCCTGGAGGTGGGCGCTTACCCCAGGAAGGTGAGGAATCGCGGATCTGTGGCCAGGTTGGCATCTATGGTGAAGGACAGGAAGGCAGGGCTCACCAAGTGCACCGGCCGCTCGGTGAAGAAGTCCAGCTCCACGGTGTCCTCGGCTTGCGCCTGTCCCGCCAGGGCGCGCGGGCTGAGAGGACAGAGAGGCCCCAGGAGTAGCAGCAGCGGCGGCGGCAGAGGCAGCCGCAGCTTCCAGCGCAGAAGCATCGCGTGTTCACCTGGCTGCCCAACTCGCGAGCTACAGTGACTGAGACTCGAGACCTCGCGCACTTGCTTTCGCCTGGTCACAACGACCTTTTCTCCTAGCCTCCACCCTCCCGCTCCTCCTCACCCCTCCCACTGTCCCTCCACCCCTCCCACTTCTCCTCAGCATCCCTCCCTCAGCTCCCTCTCCTCCCCGCCCCGCCCTAGCCCTGCGGTTACTCCCACTTCCTGGCTGGCTTTCCCCTCAGTGGCAGTCACGTCCACTTACAAAATTACCCACACCCATTTGAAGGTTGCTGAGATGGCAAGGATCCAAGCGCCCAGGGAGACTGGGGAGCAGAAGCCTGGGCAGGGGCGCTGGACATCCCGGATTGGACTTCCAGATGCACAGTGCTCTCTGTGCACTGAAGGGAACGCCAGAGTTTCCCTCTTCCAAGTCCATCCAGGTGGCACCACGTCTCCTCTTCTGAACCTGAACTAATGCCTGCAGTTGAGCATTCTTAGCGTCTTCTCCCATGTGGCTTATAAACACGTTTGTCAATTGGAGCCTGCCAAAACCTGATTGAACCTGTGTCCACTGTATCCCAGGCATTTTACTTTTGCCTGATCCGCTAAAGTACAGTTAGAAAGATATGCAGCACCAAAAATTCCTTATCAAGTTCTCGTGAAACAATTTTTAGTACAGCCTTAAAGTGTCATGTGCTCCAACATCTGAAACCCAGAGACAAAGACAACCTGCATACAGTGTGGGGTGGTAACTGTCTCTTGAATTTGGAGCCTTTGCCAACTTTCCCTGTTATACATTTATCTTTCATTTTTCCTTTGATGCATATGTTGATCTCTAACAAGCACCATACAGTTAGTGCATTTGCAAGCAGTTAGTGTGCTGAGCTGCTAATTGTGCGATTGGAGGTTTGAGTCCACCCAGAAATGCCTTGGAAGAAAGGCGTGGTGATCTATTTCTGAAAAATCAGCTGTTGAAAATTCTGGAGCACAGTTCTACTCTGAAAGATACAGGTTCACTTGAGTCAGAATCAACTCAAAGGCAACTTGATTGGTGAGAGGTGGTGAGAGGCTCTGGTCGTGTAGTGCCTAAGGCATTTGACTGCTAACCAGAAGACTCATGGTTCAAACCCACCAGCACTCTTTGGAAGGAAGATAGGGCAATCTACTTCCATAGTGATACCACCTCAGAAACCCAAGGAGGGATCCCTATGAGTTGGATCCGACTCCAAGGCAGTGAACCTGCATTGTCTCTTAATTCTCACAACAACCCTGCAAAGTGCATATTTATCCTTGTTTTACACATGAGGCATTGACTTGTCTCAGGGTCAGAATTGAGATGTAAACACAATTACACAACCCTAAGCAGATGGCAGGAGCTCTGGTAGCATAGTGCCTAAGGCACTTGACTGCTCACCAGAAGGCTGGCGGTTCAAACCCACCAGCCACTCCTCGGAAGGAAGGTTGGGCAATCCTACTTCCATAGTGATACTGCCTCGGAAACCCAAGGAGGGGTCGCTATGAGTCAGGGCCGACTCATCGGCAAAACAACAACAACAACAACAACAAGCAGATGGCAACCTGCTTCAGCTGAAATGTTACTTCCTCAGGAAGCTTTCCCTGAACCTCAGGTGCTGAAGTCTCCCATTAAACACTCTCATAGCACCTTGAACTTGGTAGCACACAGCACATTTGTTATTATTGTGACTGCTCAATATTAGCATCTTCTGCTGCATTGTAAATTCCATGAAGGCCAAGATGGGGTCTGCCTGGTACTGTCCTAGCCACAGCTCATGAGTGATGACACGAAAACCCTTATATTTTCCCACATGGTGGCAAAAATGGAGGTAGAAAAGCACAAGACTAGACTTTTTTCCACCTTTGATATGACATTGGTCCTATTCCATACCCCATGCCCCTGCCTCCTGGAGTAAAGTCACACCAATTTCTTTCAAATGTGGACCACTGAGATTTTTCTAAATAGTAAATCCTCGTGACATCCTGAGATGAGGGCCAGTGAGTTTCACATGTGAGTTACTAATTTGGAAACTAAGAAAACATAAATGAGGAAGCAAAGAAAAGTGACTTGAACACAATGTGTTCTGAGAGCAGAGTTTCTGGCTCCTGATCCTAAGATGGTTTAGTACTCTTATTAAGAGACATGTAGGGCTTTAAAAAAATGCTGTTGAGTTGATTCTGATTTATATTGAACCGTAGGACACAGTAGAACTGCTCCACAGGGTTTCCAAGGCTGTAATCTTTGCACAGCGGATCACCAGGTGGTTCTCCCTCCCGTAGAGTAGCTGGTGAACTTGAAATGCCCACCTTTCAGTTAGCAGCCAATCACTTAACCATTGCACCACCAGGGTTCTTTATGAGTAAACAGGAGGGAGCAAAATATGGGAATAATAATATAAATAGTCATTTCAGAGGCATTTTACATTTTTATGGGAGCTCTGGTGGCATAGTGCCTAAGGCATTTGACTGCTAACCAGAAGGCTGGCGGTTCAAACCCACCAGCCACTCCTTGGAGGGAAGGTTGGGCAATCTGCTTCTGTAGTGATACCTCCCTGGAAACCCAAGAGGGGTTGCTATGAGTCAGATCTGACTCCATGGCAGTGTATTGCATTTTGCATTACATTTTTATGGCAAGTTACAGCTTACATGCATTCCAGCTAGCCCTTCAACGTATATTCTAGCCCTGCACTTGTAAGGCATCAGGTTGATTTCAAGGCGTCTTCAGAAAATAATAACTTTATCACTTGCTTGTCTACAAAATTAAGATTTTCCTAATATGAAAATCTAGGCTGTGTAAACAGCATACGTAGTGTGTTGATTTAAGTATTAGGTTATGACTTATAAATTTACGTTTTAGTTTTAATGCTTTGGTGATCCAGTGGTGTAACTTTAAGCCAAACAAGACATAGGCCTAGAAGCAAACAATTACACCACAGAGGTACACTCCTTAGAACACTTAACCATGGGAGATCAGAAGGGTAGCATTTGTGCAGGGAGATCACTCAGAGGGCAGAAAAAAAGAAGAAGAAGGCCACTGCAGAAAGGTAACCACAGGGAGGTAGTGGGACGGGAGCTGTGACATTGTGGGGATGATTGCCATTAATGTCATGAAACAAAATGTGTATGAACTGTTGAATGGAAAACAAATTTGCTCTGTAAACTTTCACCCAAATCACCCAATAAAAAGTAAAAACAAAACAAAACAAACAAACTTTGGTGATCAAACTATTCCCTAAAATATGGCTAAATTAAAAGTAAATATGTGGTAGGGATTTGAGTAATTAATCTAACTTTACCCAAAGAATTTGATCTTTGTCCTTGGTTCCTGAGGGATAATCACAAAAACTCTGGAATTTCCCCAATAATTCAAGAATCTTTTACCTATAACAAGTTCCAGAGCATACCTCAGAGTTTATGCTAATGAGGTACCTCTTGAGTGTAGGCTGTCCAGGCCACAAAGACCCACAAAGTGGTATCAGCCTGACTACAAGAGAGGGGAACTAAAAGCAGAGTTCAGTAAATCCTGCCTATGTTGTTGTCCCACCACTTGTCTGTGAATTTGTCATACTGTACATGTTGTTGTTGTTATTAGGTGCCATAAACTCAGCTTCCGCTCATAGTGACCCTATGTACAACATAACAAAACACTGCCCGGACCTGTGCCATCCTCACAATTCTTCCTATACTTGAGCGCATTGTTGCAGCCATGTGTCAATCCATCTCATTAAGGGTCTTCCCCTTTTTCTCTCTCTGACCCTCAATTTTACCAACCATGGTATCCTTCTCCAGGGAATGGTCCTTTCTGACAACATGACCAAAGAAGGTGAGAGGCAGTTTCACCACTCTCACTTACAAGGAGCAGTCCAGCTGCACTTCTTCAAGTACAGATCTGTTTGTTCTTCTGGCAGTCCATGGTAGTTCCATATCCTTTGCCAACAGCACAATTCAAAGGCATCAACTTTTCTTTGGTCTTCCTTATTCATTGTTCAGCTTTTATATGCTTATGAGGTGATTGAAAAATATCCTGGCTTGTGTTAGGCACATTTTAGTCTTCAAAGTGATATCTTTGCTCTTTTAACCTTTAAAGAGCTCTTTTGCAGCAGACTTGCCCAGTGTGATATGATGTCTGATTTCTTGACTGCTGCTTCCATGGGTGTTGACTGTTGACTCCAGTAAAATGAAATCCCTGACAACTTCAATCTTTTTGCCATTTATCATGATGTTGCTTATTGGTCTAGTTGTGAGGATTTTTATTTTCTTTATGATGAGGTGTAATCCATACTGAAGACTGTAGTCTTTGATTTTCATCAGTAAGTGCTTCAGGTCCTCTTCACTTTCAACAAGCAAAGTTGTGTCATCTGCGTATCACAGACTGTTAATGATTCTTTCTACAATCCTGATATCTCACTCCTCTTCACATAGTCCAGCTTCTTGGATCATTAGCCTAGCATACACATTAAATAAACATGGCAAAAGGATACAACCTTAATCACACTCTTCCTGATTTTAAACCATGCATATGTATCCCCTTGTTCTGTCCAGACAACTGCCTCTTGGTCTATGTGCAGTTCTTCATGAGCATAATTAAGTGTTCTAGAATTTCCATTCTTCACAATGTTATCCACAATTTTGATGATCCACACAATTGAATGTCTTTGCATAGGCAATAAAACACAGGCAAACATCTTTCTGGTACTTTTTGCTTTCAGCCAAGATGCATCTCACATCAGCAATGATAGCCTTCGCTCCACATCCTCTTCTGAATCCAGCTTGCATTTTTGGAAGTTCCCTGTCAATATACTGCTGCAACTGTTTTTGAATTATCTTTGGCAAAATTTTACTTGTGTGTGATATTAATGATATTGTTTGATAATTTCCACATTCTGTTGGATCACCTTTCTTTGGAAGGGACACAAATATTGATCTCTTCCAGTCAGTTGGCCAAGTAACCATCTCCCAAATTACTTGGCATAGATTAGTAA